CAGTAGTAGTTTCGGAGCCTATTCAATGCAAACAAACAATCAAATGTTTCCTCCTTACATTATTAGTATAGATAAAAGCATCTACATATTTAGGGTTGTGTATACATGATATAATGATATTGACCAACGGCAGAGCGGATTTGTATTGAAGAGGCTGATTTGCATTAATATTTTGAATACGATTCATTTTAGTGTAAATCAGTGGCAATCAATACATAAAATTTTCGTGCATTTACCAAATTTAAGTAAGCAACTTTGACAAAAAAATGGCATACTTTTGCTATTGTGAATATCATTATTCTTCTGTCTTACAAATTTCTCAAGCTGTAGTTTTCTAATAGCTTCTATTTCTACTACAACTCGCTCGTAGGCATACGATAAAAACGTCATGGAGCGCAAGACTACTTAATTTAATTTAAAAGGTAAATTTAAGGTAAATTAAAGGTAGAATCCCAGGGTTCTTCTTCTTTTTAACTGGCTTAGACACCGTTTACACGATTATAGCGGAGTTAATAACAGCGCGCCATCCATTTCTTCTTTTCGCCAAGGGAGTGGAGGTCTTCTTCTTCTACCTCCCTCGACGAGTACTTTTAGAGCTTTATCGTTTTCATCCCTTCGGATAACATTACTTAGCCAGCGGAGCCGCTGTCTTCTAATTCGCTGAACTATGTCAATGTCGTCATATATCGCATATATCTCCATCGAATGCGATATTCGCCGTAGCCAACTCGCAAAAGACCATAAATCTTTCGCAGAACCTTTCTCTCGAAAATTCCTAAGTCCGACTCATCATCGAATATTAATAGTTTGTTTGATATTTTTTTACACCAGAGACTATTTTCTCCTGATAGGATCGCTACTAAATTAACCGTGGTTACATGGAAAGTTTTAATAAGAATTTGAATCAATGTCTCTAAAGCTTATAAAAGCCTTCCCTTACTTTTATACGTTATTTTCTTTAAGTCTAGATATAAACGCAATACTTAAATTCTAGGTAATGTATCTTAATGATAGCTAATGGCCGCTTCTTAATTGCTAATGTGTCAATGTTTGACACATTTGCCTAATAGCTTAACCGTGCTATTCTGTCCTGTGATACAGTTTCAAGTCTCTCAATTTTAGATTTCAAGTTAGAGACAATTTTTGCGACTTGAGACGATTTTACTATTCTGTAAGTCACAGTCACATAATCTAATATACATATTTATTTTGTTTTTACTTTTGAATTAAAATAAATATGTCGATAACAAATATTAAATTTCTATAACATAGTCAAACAACATAATCATATATTTAAAAATGAATCGTAAACTGTGTTACTAAGCGCATAACACCACAACGCCTGGACCAATTTTGCTAATTATTTTTTTAAATGTTCGTTGAGGTTCAAGGAAAGTTTTTACGGTTTTTACAATTCGAATAATTGCCGGAAAACCCCTAAAAACAGACCTTTTCTTTTTCCCATACAAACGAATGAATGTTTGTTTGTTAGTAACGCTAAGAGAACGGCTGCACCAATATTGTTGAAATTTTCAGAGCTTGTTCGTTGTGGGTCGAGGAAGGTTCAGAAATAAAAATACCTTATACTTTTCATGAGGAAGTATCAGAAAATTGGATGATTCCAAAAAATAACTTTTTCCATACACATTTTTTCAATTTTTGTTTGTTTTGTTTTTCCATATTTTATTTGTAAATTATTTGAATCGTTCAATTTCGGTCTATTGCTTTTTTATTTCGGATATTGAAAAGAAAAATTATTGAAAATTATTCAGTGAAAACTTTACGTGTGTTTCACACAAAGAGATCAATTGCAGATTGAAATTTGTTACGAAGCTACGAAGAGGTCGCCCTTATATCGGTCGGCTTTCTTTTTGCCATCAACGTATGGTAGCCCAAGGCAAGGTAAGTCAAGAAGTACTCCCAGGATGCGATGACATTCGTGCGGAATTATGGATCGCGGTCAATCAGCAAGCGATCGGCACGATATCACAACACAACTTTTCAAAAAACAGTTACGATGCTTGATGGACTTTATGTGGTTGATGATGAAATCATTTCTGCGGAAATTCTTGACGCAGAGAAAGATCTAGTATTATTCAAAGTGGCGAAAACCCATATGGTTCATAGACCTTGCGGACACTACAATCCCACTTCGGTTTGTATGTGTGACAATAAATGCTCGAAACACTACCCACGTGCTTTTCTTTCGGAAGACGACAATGGCAGAACATTCAGCATACAATTTGGAAGAGTGAATATCGAAGTTGAGAATACATGGATCGTAGTATTGTATACGAGGTGTGTTCAAAAAGTATCGCGAATTTTGAATTTACGTATATTCGAATTTCGCATTTTTTGTGGCGTTATGTTGGTAYTCATGTCTCTCACTTACGCCGACCAGCTCGGCCATTTTGAACGTTCATTTAATTGTTGACAGCTGCTTTGCTTGCACGTGTTTTGGATCGTCTTCCATTTTTACCTATTCAAAAAAAATGGATCAAAGAACTTGTATCAAATTTTGTGTGAAAAACGAAATTAAGTGCGCATATGCATTCCGAATGTTGACTGTGGCGTACGGAGAAGCTACTTTGGACCGAAGCAACTTTTATCGGTGGTACAAAATATTCTCAGAAGGCCGAGAAGATGTGACAAAAATTGGCTTTTGCACCACGATAACGCCCCTGCTCACACATCGTTGCTTGTGCACGACTTTTTGGCCTAAAACAACACACTAATGATGCCGCAGCCACCGTATTCTCTAGATCTGGCCCCCTGTGACTTCYTCTTGTTCCCTAAACTGAAKAGGCCCATGAAAAGACGACGTTACGCTTCTCTTGACGAGATAAAGATGGCATCGAAGGAGGAGCTGAAGAAGAWAAAAAAAAAAATGATTTTTTGAAGTGCTTCGAAGATTGGAAAAACCGTTGGAACAAGTGTATAATATCTCATGGGGACTACTTTGAAGGGGAATGCTTAAAGTAGCAGCGCTTTAGTGATGCCCACTTCACTTTGGTCTTTGTGACACTTACCACTTTCACTTCTTGAAATAAAACACCCGGTTAACTTCTAAAGGGAATTCAAGATAGATTTAATTCGATTTGTTTTTTCTTTTAATTTGTTTACAGATTCGGAAAATAAGGTTACTTTTACTTTGGTTTGCACAATATTGTGAAACTAAAGGATACTCAACAGCTAATTTTAATCAGAGTTTTTAATATAAATATAATACGGTGTGCGGATGATGGAGAAGTCGTGAGGATCGCAGCGGCGATGTGTGTGCTTCGATTGTAGGTCAAAACGAAACTGAAGAAAAGCTTAATACGATGACCCTTTTGACCAGTGTCGCGTGTGGTTGGTGTTGATGTGTGGGTCCTGTGGAATGTGGATTCTGTGTGTGTGGTGTATTGGTAGTAGCATTAAGGGGGGGCGGGGGGGCGGGTTTATCTCATTTAGCCATCCAGCCCCCCTAGGCGAATATTCAGCCTAGCAATCTCTGTAGTTGCTGGAGAGTTGCAACTACGTTGCTGAGTCCGTGAGGCACTACCAGAAGCGGTAGTTGATGCAGTAGCATTGGTTGGGCGGGGCGTAGGGATAGGCCCAGTACGTGCCACGTTGGTTGCCGACCGAACAGTTGGGGTTGGTGTAGTCGGCACGTCCACGTCCATCTTGATCTCCGTAAAAAATTGTACTTGTATATACATGGTAGTATATAAATGGAATTTGTGATTGTGCCACATTGTGTGGTATGACTGGGTCGTCGTATTGACCGACCATTTCTGTAATTTTTATTGTTATTTTTAACGGTTGGTTTCGGGTTGTGGTTTTATTGATGTATTTTTGATTGATTTTTGTTGGTGTTTCGGCATTATGTTCGGATTATTTAGTATCGGATTTTCGCTATTATCCGCGGTTGGTAGAAAGCATAATTTAACCAGCGGTCTCGTGAGTATTCAGCTTTGAGTACGGAGATCAACGACCCGGATGTGACCGTCTGAGCCGGAATAGAGCTTTTATATACRGCCAAGTCGTCACTCGGTAGGTGGGAGACAATCGTCGTTAATAAGTAGACAATCTCCAAGCTTTGGCGCATTTTCTGATGTTTTCCATCGGTACCTCCTGTGGAGGTCCTTTAAATAGTCTTCTTTCCACCTATGACTGAAATTATGATGGAGAATTTTAATTCTCTCCCATCGATTTAATAAGGATAGCGACTCCACCCCTGGCTCAGGTGTGGCCAGAATGGGTGCTCCTTTGAGAAARWGCCCTGGAGTTAGGGCTGTGAGATCTGAGGGACCTTGCGAGAGTGTTTCTAGTGGCCGTGAATTGAGAACGGCTTCAATGCGAATTAATAGTTTTGTAAATTCTTCGTAATTAAAATCTTAGTTTCGTCTTGGCACCATAAGGGGTTGCCCGCAAGGTGGAGTACTATCCCCTCTGTTATGGAGCCTAATAGTAGACGAACTACTCGAGCTGCTCACCAGCAATGGAATCCGCTGTCAAGGATACGCGGACGACATTGTCATAATGGCGAGAGGCAGATTTGAGAACACTCTCTGCGACATTGTTCAAAGGAGCTTAAAACTGGCAAGAGAATGGTGCAACACCATAGGGCTAAATATAAACCCAGCAAAGACCACCGTGATCCCATTCACTAAGCGGAGGTCTCTTCCRGGCCTAAGGTCCCTAACAATTGGAGGCACAGAGGTGGTAATGTCTAAGGAGGTCAAATTCCTGGGCCTCACCTTAGACTCATCATTAGGGTGGAATAGGCATTTGGACCTAACGCTGTCCAAAGCAACTAGAGCACTAATGATCTGTAGACGCCTGGCCGGCAGATCATGGGGATGCAAGCCAAGTATCATTAGATGGCTGTATACCATGATAGTAAGGCCTATTGTCACCTATGGAGCGTCTGCTGGGCTACCAAAGCAGCGCAGTCTTCAGTAATTCRGAGACTGTCAAAGCTGCAAAGACTTGCATGTGTCTGTGCTTCAGAGGCAATGAGCACATGCCCCACGGTGGCACTGGAAGTCATGCTAGAGCTCACACCGCTGCATCAGGTGATCAAGCTAGCAGCAAAGCACACCATGCTGCTTATGTCAGCAAAAGGCTGTGGAAGAGGAAAGGTAATGTCCTCTAGACAGATGGACGAACTGACGGAGAGCACACCGCTAGCTCTCCTTCCTAAGGACAGCACCACTAAGAAAATAAACTTCAAGAAGAACTTCAAAGTCACTCTAGGCAGCAAGACGGTGTGGAGTGATTCCGCGCTGGAAAGGCTGCTGGAAGACAGCACCATTCAGTGGTACACTGATGGCTCAAAAACACCGGAAGGTATTGGGGCAGGTATCGCGGGACCGCGTACCAAGCTGTCCATACCTATGGGCAGCTTCTCAAGTATCTTCCAGGCAGAAGTTTTTGCCATCAGTCAGTGGGCTGAAGTCAACCTCAGCCGCAACTATCGTAACCAGCGTATAGCTATTCTCAGGGATAGTCAAGCGGCACTAAAAGCGATCTCATCCTACGAGACCAAATCGCTTCTAGTCGAGGAATGCGTAGAATGGCTAAACCGGCTGTCGTTGTGTAATCGGGTGCACCTAATATGGGTACCAGGGCACAAGGGAGTAGAAGGTAATGAGAAGGCCGACGAACTGGCCGGCACTGCAGCAGCGTCAAAGATGTTGGGACCGGAGCCATACATAGCGGTAGGACCCTACACTTTCAAAGAGCTGCTCCGCACGGAGGATAGAGTGGAGAGAGAACGGCACTGGCGACAGGCAGCAGGTATGCTCCACGCCAAGCTGCTTCTAGGAGGATACAACCTCCCCAGATTTAGAGAACTAATTCACTTCCCCCGTGAAAAATTCCGCCTCCTCGTCGCAATCTACACAAGGAAGCAGGAAGCACCTGTCCAATATGGGCATGGTCTCTTGTGCTAACTGCCAATTCTGCGACCTGGAACAGAAAACACCAGCACACCTAATCTTGGATTGCTCAGCAATCTGTGGAAAAAGGTTTAAGGCCCTGGATTCAGCTTACATCAGCAGGGATCACATCACCTCACTAGCGCCCGGCAAACTCCTAGAACTATTCAGGCTGCTGGGGCTCTGGGAGGTCATGTGATATAGGAGAGGGCACGATAGACCCTAGGTCGCGGTGCATTACCTCAAATCTTATATTCTATTCTATTCTATGACAGCCTCGTAGCCTTTCATTAGTGTTGGAGACATTAGCATGGACGCCTTTTTCTGAAAATGCCCAGTAAAATCGAGACCTGTAATGGTGAAAGGCAGAGCGAAGTTGCAGCTTTCCGGTGGAAGTGCTGCCATAATCTGCGTCCTCATCTTCTGTTTATGCATGGTGCAGATCTTGCACATATAAATGCACTTTTTTATTTGAGGCTTAAGTCGGGGAATATAGAATTCTTGGCGGATTATATGTTGCATTAGGCGCTGTTCCGCGTGCAACATTAGTATGTATATATATCTGAGTAGCAATGTTGCAAGACGACACTTCTCTGGTTTTATTAGAGGATGGCGTTCTTTATATGCCAGGCTTGAGTTAGCAAGCCGACCATTAGCATGAAGCAGACCTTTCGTATCCAGAAATGGATTTAGTACTAAGAGTGAGCTCTGTTCGTCAATTGGCTTCGATTCTCTTAGTAGAGACATCTCGCAGCTGAAGTGGCGCGATTAGGTAGCTGCGATAAGAGCGACCTTTGCTTTTTGTAAGTCTAGGTGCGTCACTGTATCGCCTTGGGGATATACTGTGCGTATTCC